TGATTCTACCTTCCAGGCCAGACGTTCCCAGTCTGTCTAGTTATTTCCCTGTAGGATGGTGACTGTCCTCAGTGTCCCCTTCTACCTGTTGGGCTGGACCACAGGCGCACAGGTTGGATTGGTAGGATCAGCCAGATGTAAACAGAGCTGCTTTTCAAAATGAACTTTCCATTAGCAAAGGTAAATAAGATGGCAGTTGCTCCCTCTTGCAGAACAGCCTCCTGGTAGAAGGGAGGGCTTCCTTATAGGCTTTTTTCAGTTGAGAGTCTCACATCCCTCTGGAAGGTCTCCAAACTTCACTCCTCGCTCCTCTTTCTGTAAATCTTGTAAACAGGAGGAATGAGTAAGGAAGGGATAACTGCARCGCTGTAGTTAGGAGACTTGGCTAGGAGGCTAATCCTGATGATTTCTTTTTTTGGGTTTATTTTGTTTTTTCATTAATGSATAAACTGATTGCAAAGTGTGCAGTCTTGAAGTTCTGGGATAACGGGTAGTTCATATGTATTTAGTTTGAATATATTAGACATTAATATATGTCTATACTTAGGCAAAAGTAGAAACATGACTCCCTGATGATTTTTTCTTCTTATTTTAGCTTTGCCTTCCTGAATCCTATAACACCTTTTAGTGAACCAAAGCTGTATTTGTATACTCTTTTGACATATTTTATTGTTAYTGAAAGCCAGTAGAGCACTTGAAAATCTGTTAATGTATTTTGTCTAGATTTCTATAAAGACTTTTTCCCCCCTGTTATTATGAAGATTGGGAAGAACTGACAGCTGAGTTTAAGCTGTCAAAATCGAAATGACCCTGAGTCAAACTTCGTGCTGTTCAGGTAGTTTAAGCTCTTTGGGATAAAAGAGGCCAGGTAACACTAATGCTTCATGTAAAATTCCATCGTAAAAATCTTGGCGACCCAACAGCTCGAGTGTGGATGATACTGAAGAATCAGAAAGGTAACATCTCTCCTGGACGTTTTGAAGTCCCTTTGAAAAGAATACAAAACCAAGTTGCATTTGCCCCCTGTTTAAAATATATATGTGTGTCTGTGTGCACCCACTATACTTTGTTGAAAGCGTTACTTTGTTTTAGAAAATGAATATATAAAAACTTCTGATGAGATTTAATAAAGAATATATTTGGTTTTTAGAGTTCCTAGATCTTTTCTTAGATCTTAGTTCTTTTAGAGTTCTACCCTGCCTTAACCTAGAGACTCTCCCCTTTTCCTCTTGAAGTTTCAGGAGGAGTCTCTGGTGGATGACTCCCTGCTCCAAGATGACGACGAAGAGGAGGAGGAGAATGAGTCTCGCTCGTGGAGAAGATGATTCGGCTGATCACAGATGATGCTGGAACGGCACCTGCATTGCATTAGTATTACCTAATGTACTTCTGCATCTTTGTAATAAGGAGGGCTTTGGTAAATGTGGTGAAGTTGGATTCGGATATAGGCTAAAAAGCAGCTGATCAGTTATATGTTTTGAGAGATTGATGTTTGAGTTACATTTCAGTAAATGATTGCTAAAGACATCATACTAGGAACATATGCAATGTTTTTATTACATAGTTCTACAGAAAGTTACAGAATTCTTTGGGTTCTTTGTAATTTACTGAATTGGTCAAACACACATGGCCAAAAGTTGTTATAACATAGATAATTTTTGTTTTATTCCAGATACGGAATGAAAATTTGCATTTAAAATCTTTGTGAATGTTTTCAGAAATGAATAGATAACAGTACTAAACTGAAGTCTCTAAAGTTATGTATTCATAATATTGCATAGTAGTATGCTTAGGCTTTACTATGTACTAGCCTTTTGTTGGATTTGTGTACGTATTTTACCTATGGGTTTTAATGATAAAGTGTATGACTGCTTTGCATATAAGTCCTTATGACTTTAAGATGTTAAAAAATAAAGAAATGGAATGGTCTTCAAAAAAAGAAAAAAAAAAAGAAAAAAAAAGCAATAACCAAAAAAGCTAAGGCAATGGTCCTTCATAATGAAAAAAAAAAAAAAAAAAAAAAAAAGAAAAAGAAAAAAGACCATTCCAGATGGCAACCCCACCCCCATGTTCACAAAAGGAGCTAAAATCACTATCTCTTGCACTAACATAACATTCACTATAAAAAATAAAATTGAAATAGAGAAGTTTCTTTWCAGTCACCCCCAGACGGACTTCACTGCCACCCGAAAGTGTTTGCATGTCCTCTGAATTTAAAAAGTGATTTGAATCAAACTCCCCTTAGAATAATGTTTCRACCAGACTGTCAACCTGCAGTGCCCAACAGTAGAAGAAACCTTGATCCCACCACACAATCCATGCACTCCTGAAATTGAGTCTAAGACTACATTTAAGAGAAGTGGAGTTTTTGGTAGGTATTAGCCTAAACCCTCTAAGTCTGCACACAATAATGGATCTTTTCTGTTCCTGTGTGTCCCATAATTACCTTTTTCTCATTCCAGGAGCAGTATGTGGCAGATCCTCAGTCCCTACTCTACTGTATATATTAATGCACCCAGGTCACGTGTTGCTGCACAGATGTAGCTGCAGTAACTGATGCCCCTGAGTGAGCTGGTGCATCAGCTTCATGGTGCTTTCTAAGAAGACACTTTTTATGTAAGGTCAGAAGCGCAGAGAAAGGGGAAGCCCTCAGCCCTTTGCAGCTTTTGTCACAGAGAATTCGCTCCTCTGTCTCTTAAGTGGCATTTTGCTCTGCTTCTTTTACAAGAAGGGCCACTTGGTACATATTAGAATTCCTGTTTTTTTCCATCAACTCACTGAGCTCAGTGCAGAGCCCCTATCTCATTTACCAAATAGATGCACAGGACAATGCTGCAATTAATAAGTGGGGTTTTTTTTGTTCTGTTTTGTTTTATTTTTCAAGCAGGGACTGCTAGGCTTTAAACTTTTTTTTAACATTTTTTTTCTCTTTAATTCCAAAGTAATAATATCGGGGAGTAATTCCAGAAATAAGACTTCCCCTGTAAATTCTTTTCTTTTTCTCTGTACTTAGTTTTTTTAAGGGTTCTTAGAGGACTGAATCCTATGGGATTTTTTGTTTCTGTTTTAATGTTGCTTTAGTGCATATCATGCAGCAAGATATGCATATATGTAGATTTTTGTATAAGTTTCACATTGAAATTTCACGGTCAACTGCCATGCTTGTTACAGGACGTTCAAAACCTTGCCATAAGGAATTGTGTTTGGGAAAATGATTTCCTTTTGCACTGAATTTCAGGCAAAATAAAATATTTTAAGAACCCTTTTATCCAGTGCTCTGAAGGAGCTATTCTGTCTAGTTCATTGGGTTAAATACATGATTTCCTACTTTTCTTTTTTAATAATTCAGTATATCTGAAGGGTGCCAGTCTCACAATGCAGGAGTTGGAAGTTTCTTACGTGTTGTTTTGGAGAACAGATAGGAGTCAGGAAAGCCCTGTGCGTGCTGCCCTAAGGCCATGGCATAGCAAGCTTTGCTGTTCAGACCTGCCTCTTCACTAACCCTCAGCCATAATCCAAGCTAACAATAAATGTTAGTAAGCAATGATTTACTGTAATCTTTTCTTACTTCAGAGAGTTAACRCTTTAAAAATTGTCATTTATCATTTGCTTGTTTGGAATTTAGACTGGTGACAGTAATGTACCCSTGCGAGACTCTTCTCGTAGTAGCTATATAAATCCCAGTCCACCTGTAAGGGTGAATAAATCCTTTAAAATGCTTTTCATGCTCACACCTCCACAAAGAAAGGGGAGGGATCTGTCCCCATGTGTATTCTCTCCACTATTGTTTTCTTGCATCCTTTGGAATTCTGAAAACCACATGGATCAGAATGTTGTGGTTTACCCTCACTTCAAGAAACAAACCCAAATGTTTAGTTTTCAGTCAAAAACCACTGTGACTGGAAGATATTCCTTGCCCTGTCACAGTCTAAACTGATTCTGTCAAATGACGTCATTTTGGGGGATTGTTTTTGTTTTTCTCGGTGATTTTTACGTGGCAGTTTCCACTGTTTGCAGCTGCCTCAACCACCTCTGGTGTTTCTGTTTGGTCAGAGCCCTGTTAAGACAGGCCAGTGATGAAGTCACCTGGAGCAGCGGCCTCCCGTGTCTGAACCGACCAAGCATCCTGCTCATCTTCATTCCCATCTTAGTTGATCCTGAGTGATTTTTAACAGTTCTATGGATGGATTTAGATAGCCTGAAACACTAAGAATGTTGTTTTTCTCCAGAAAAGCTTTTCCAAATTTCTGTGAGAAGAAAAGTGAACATTGAAGAAGGTATTTTCTTGGTAGATAAAAAAGGCCTTGAATAAGATGTGATCTGATAGGTCCTTCAGTGACAATGTTAGAGAAAACTATAAAACCATATTGGCTAAACTACAGAAAAGGTTAAGTAATACAAATCAGTAATTGCAACTATATTATAGCCTCATCTACAAAACAGAAAATTAGCAGGTGTACTGCTTAGAAGTGGGACTTGGAGCTAGTGTTACTGATATTTTTCTTCTTCCGTTAAAACTCACGTAATTCAGTCAAAAACTCTATAGAAGAAACAAATGAGGTGTTCATTAGTGAAACAAGGTATGAGGCCTATTTTACAGGCAAGCCCATTTCCTACATATAAACTACCATTTTGGGAAATATTCATGTAACTTCAGACATTTGAGTTACGTTGCTGTTCTAAACCATTCTCTGAAAACTGTTTCTACCCTTTATTAGGAATACAAAAATAGTGTCCAGGTAAATTAGGTATTCAAGAAAGACCTAGCAGCAATACCCTTCAGCATGTGTCATATAAAACACTCAGTTGAGCATCTATTCCAAAGAGCCGTAGTAAAGACTACTCTAGTTTTCAGCCCCTGGGTAACTTTTAATAACTCTATGCTTATATGAGGATTTTTCTACTAAGTTGACTGGACAGTATCATTTGCATGTAAACTTCTGAGCTATGTGCTGACCTCATTTTTTTATGAACAAAATGGCCTTGATTTATTTCCTATTGGAAATCTATTTATCTATTCGGGATAAGCTGGGAAGAATTAATGATCAGTATATATCATTAGCAAATGTAAAATTTCAGAAGTGCTTGTGTATTTTGACATTATTGGAAAAGGAGGCATTTCTTCAGGTAAGCTAATTTAGAATGGACTTTTCAGTCTATAAGTTTTTCATATCTTTTCCAAGATGAAAAAGCATTTTATGTGCTCTTGATTTTGTAGTTGCCATCTATCTAATGAGCTTAGAAAATCGAAAGAAGTGCAAGACTTTCTTTTTGACTCAAAAGTGATTTTGATTAGAAATTTGTATTGTCCCCATTATTATTTTTTAATTATTTTTTAACTAATCCCCGAAGTACTAGGTCCCGCTAAGTATACTTGGGCTGGGAGGATCAAGTGTGGGATCTTCCACCTGGCATTACACAATGCTGCACAAACACAAAAGTTAACAGAAAGAGGTATAGACCTTTTTTAAAAATTTTGGAAATCTGAACAATTTTGACTTATCCTTTAACTGAGKAGAGTAGGACTGTTTCTTAATGTGTTGTGGGTTACTTTCAAAGTAATTTCTGTTATCATAATTGCTGTCAGACRGGATGTTTCTTAAATCTCTTGATTAAGAGCTCAAAAAGATGAAGAAAAAAATTGTAAAATCTTTGGTGACATCAACTCTCTATTTTGGAGGGCTAGTAGAGGGCTACTTCTTTATAAGCATTCAAATAAGTTTGTCACACAGTTACCTACATACTTTTTTACCTTAATATGCCTTCACATGTTTCTTTTCATTCTGAACCGTGGTTTGAATCTGTAGATGTCAAAAATGCCTATACCAAAAACAGGTACTTTGCTGACTTCAGTATTATATTTTAATTACCTTTAGACCTAATTGGGTCACAGCTGAGAGAGGTTTCAAGAATGTCCTATGTGCAAGGAATTTCTCCCTATTTTATTAACAGATCATTGCTTTTAAATTCTGTCTGAATGAGCTATTATTGTTAAAGCTTCCTTGAGTGCTGATGCTTTTGACTTTGTCCAGCTGAGTGAAGATTCCTTTTTCCTTCTTGTTACAGTAAGCTTGTTGTGCGAGGACCAGTGGATGGCTTTGAAAATCCTCATCTGACTGCATGGTATTTTACAATGTTTTTRATAATTTTGATGAACTCTTGGATTCCAGGATCCCGTCTGCTTTGTTAGCAAACAGACTAATTCCCTTTCTTACCTTTCTCCCACAAAGACTTGAAAATTACATTCAGCAAATCTGCCCGTGCTGGTTGATGAACTGGATTTTAACATTTCCTGTGGGGCACTTTTTCAGAATTCATTTTTTCTGAGAAACATCTGCAATAGATCTGACTTTTTTGGCCTTTTGGATACAGAGTCGTCTTTAAAGTTAGCAGTGTATGTAAATTTATTCAACTTTTTGAAAAGGTTCAACYTTAAAGAAAATTCAACCTTAAAAAAAAGTAGCAACAACAAAAAACTATATACTACAATTACTCTGTTGTAGTTTCATGTAAGATTTTTAATAGTAAATTGATGGYATATGTTTTCTTTTAAAGAGATTTTTTCTGTCATTTAACATATGTATTTTTAATATTCTTATTTATTTTTTTTTCCAGGAAAAGCTATAGAGATTATATGTAGCTTTATTTGCAGATCTCAGAAATGGGAACAACTCAGGTGACTATTTCTAGTTAACAAAGATTGACTTTTGCTTCTTAGGCTTATTCTTCTTTTAATGGCCTTAAGTTATCTGAGATGCTTTCCTAATGAACTGCAACTAGGTGGAAGATTTCTCTGTTCTAAGGCTTGCCAAGCTGCCTCTCTCTACAATAATTTCCTCTCTAGGGAAATGAGAAAAGTTTCTTAGATTTTAAAGGTCATAATTTATTCTTCATCTTGCGCAGAGTTTTGTGTAATACTGACGTTTG